AACCCTTTCCCGCTCGGAACTCGTCGGTCTTGTTTCCAATCCCGCGCCCACGAAATCCTCAGTGGTCTCTGTAATGAAATTCACATCCTCGGAAGTCTCAAACGGCACCCTCTTGCTCTCGGTCCCCTCCTCTGCTCTCACTGTCCTGGTAGGTCCTCCAATCCAGTGACGTGATGCTGGCTTTGTTTTCCTGAAACCAGCACCGCAGAAGGAGGGGCGCTGTCCCTATTCAGGGTTCGCGGCTGGATCGGCCGCCGCGACCCTCGCAGCGCCGAGAGCCTGCTGTAAATCCTCGAGCTTCTGCTTGAAGTCCTCCCTGTCAGTGTAGTTCACCTTCGCGTCGTAGAGGTCCTTCGCCATGTCGATGCACAGATGTCCCGTCGAGATCCGCTTGAGCTTCGCCACCTTGTTCTTCGTGATATTGTTGAAGCAGGCGATCCCCGTCTCGAAGTCGACGATCGCTCCAGCGCGCTTCAGGAAATCCACTGACCCCAGCAACGGCACGTAGCGGCCCCCCTTGGTGTTCAGCGCGTAGCCCGACACGCTACCTAGATTGCCGTTCGCCTGCAGCGGGAGGTTCGCCCAGCACGAACACTGCTCCGCGTCGCCGTTAGCGAGCCCGAACTTCGGTCGATCTGTCGCATCGACCTTCGCGTTGCTCGCGTCGATTCCTGCCTGCTGCTGCTTCTCGATGATCTTCTCGAGCGCCACGATCGACCCGAACGTCTTCGTCGCTCCGCTGTCGAGCACCATGCACCCCTCCGTCTCGTCCGCGAGACCGGCCAGCGCGTGCTCCACCCCGAACTCCGTGTAGGCCATCTCCAGGTCGTTCTCCTCGAGCTCGTCGTCGTTGCCCTTCCAGTTCGCGAAGCTGAACGCCAACGCTCCAACCTGAGATGCTCGTCCGCGCGGCTGCTCCTTGTTTCGATTCTCCGGGTTCTTCGGGCAGTCGGCCATCCTGCGCGGTCCGCTACAGATGAAGCACGGCCCTCCTTGGCCCGTGCCGCCTTTCTTGCCCTTGCCCTTGCCCTTCTGAAAGAACCCTCGGCTTTGCTTGATATCTTTTACCACGGCCCGCGCTTGTGCCAGCGTCCTCTTCTGGTTCTTGACGTCCTTCTTGGCTCCGGCGATGACCGCCAGTGCCTCCTCTGCCTCCGCGCGTTCCTCCTCGTCCAGACCTCCGAGGTCGAACTCGTCCTCGTCCCAGTCGAACTCCGCGTAGGCTTCGTAGTCGTCTTCCGGGTCGTAGTCGTCTGGAGCCTCCTCTTGATCATCTCCATCTTCTCCAAAAACTCCTAGTGCTCGTCCACGGCCAGGTTTGTGCGGGAATATGTCTCTCTTCTTGTTGTGCGCGTCGTGCTCCTTTAGGTCCACGTCTGCCCACTGGTCCCGCAGCGCTGCCTCGATGTTCTTCAGATTCAGCGAGTTCTTGGCTGACGACAGGACTCCCGCGCGCTCTTGAGCATTCAGTCCGGCTCGTTGTAGTAGCAGCCAGCCCGCCATCACCGACGGGATCAGCGTCTCGCGCGCCTCTGTCGCCACCTCCTCCAGCGCCTTGATGTCGGCATCGTCATCCTCCAGGTCGAAACGTGACATCAGTGAGCACAGCGCATCCGTAGCCTTTTCCTTCAGCGTCACCTTCTTGTGTGCCTTCAGCGATGTCGTCGCCTGTGGCCAGGTCCAGCCAGCTGACCCCGTCGGTGAACTCGACCACCAGCTGCTGCCATACCACCAGCTACCCTTCCAGTAGCCGTCGTTCTCGTCCTTCCAGCTGCCGTCGTCCTCTGCGCCTTCATCTTCGCCTTCGGGGCCTTCTCGTTCGCGAGTGGACTCCAGCGTCGCGGACTCTGTCTTCTCCTCGGGCCGCATCTTCTTGGCTAACTTGATCTCTGTCGCAGTGTCCTTCTCGTCAAAGCTCTGGTCCAACTTATCTGCGACGATCCTGCTCCTCTGAGCGTTGGCCTTCATGCCCTCGTTGTTCCTCCGTCGCAGCGTGAACCAATATTCCTTCAAGTACTTCGCGGCCTCCGGTATGGGTTCGTCCATGAGCGTCTCGTCCAGGAACTCTAAAAGGATCGTGTGGCCTCCAGTCTTTTCCAGCAGCTCTCGTCCTTCATCTGAAACCTCTTCGAGCGCCTTCCATGCTTCTCCTGTGAGAGCTGCCGCCAGTCTCGCTCCTGCCACTTGTTTGTCTCGATGTGAAAGACCAGCCACATACCATTTCACACGCTCTCGATACTCCTGGAATCTGGTGACGTATCCATCCCACGTAGGTACCTTCTTGCCGTCGTCTCGAGATTCTCCCATCTTTGCCGGCTGTCCAGGTATTGGAGCCAACGGCTCCGCTACCAATGCAGGTTCACCGATAGGTGTCTCTGAATAAGTGTTGATGCAATGTCGTCAACTCCCTCTAGGTCCGTGGATCTCAAGCTCTCTTTTACCTCAGCACGCGCGAAGCCAAAAATGTATATCTCTCCTCGCCGCAAGCGTTGGTCTGCACGCAGTCCGGGTATTCTCCAGATAGCCAGCCCTCGAATCTGTCCCAGGGAAATGTGTTTTGTCTGAATATTCTGATATTCGATCTCGATAGTCTGGCTGGCTCTCTGGAACCAGCAAGTAATGTGTCTGACCGCCCAAAAAGCGGCTCAAGGGGCCCCTAGGCCACCATGATGACGGATAGCTGCAAATGACACTCGTCTCGCACTTACGGAAACGAAACGGACGCGATTGAGTTCGCAGCTCCGGGGGCCCTCCCAGCGCGGGGGCCCTTGCCCCGAAGACCGGGCGGTGCCCGCCTCCGTCAGGGGGCGCTCTGGCCGATCATCCTGCCTATGGGGGCGCCCCTCCGAGGCTGAGGAGGAGGAGGAGGAGGAGGAGGGAGAGGCAGAGGAGGAGGAGGAGGAGGAGGAGCTGGAGGAGGAGGAGGAGGAGGAGGAGGAGGAGGAAGAGGAATGATAATAATAGTGATAGCAATAAGAATAACGATAACAATCATAAGAAAATACTAAGAGCGAGGGAAAAGAGGAGGAGAAGAGGAAAAATAAGAAAAATAAGAATAATACGAAGAAGAAGAATACTAATGATAAGAATAAGAAGAAGGAGAAGAAGAAGAATAATAATAATAATAAGAAGAAGAAGAACAGTAAGAAGAAGAAGAAGAAGAAGAACGACACACATCAGTGGGCGGCGACGAGAGGAAACATCACCCGTGGGAGAAGATCATCCCTCCCCAGACCTCCTCCTCCTCCTCCTCCTCCTCCTCCTCCTCCTCCTCCTCTGGGTCTGTGTGGACCTCGAGCACATGACCATTGTCTGCTTGCTTACTTTGCCCTCCTCCTCCTCCTCCTCCCCCTCCTCCTCGCACGTAGCTCCAATGAGTTCTTCATAGCTTCAATGGGGCGGCAGGGGCGCAGCCTCACAAGTACTCGTAGACGTTGTCGCAGCGAGTGCTGCAAGGTCGATGTCGGCGACTCCACTGTCCAGCACCAGACTGCTTGGCTTGATCTTCTTGGCACCGTCACAGCAGAGGAACTCGACAAACACACGTTCATAATCCCCTCCACATACTTTCCCAGGCATGCCATTGAGTGCGCTGGCTTTGAGGCCCGTTGCAATGACAGTCGCTCCAACCGCAAAGCCATGATGCAACTCGTAGGCGACATCCTGCGAGAACTCAGATGACATTCGGCACAAATCCTGTCTGATAGAAGCGATCTTCCCATCTACTTCATCTCTGATATTCTGACAGTCGGTAGCCAGGCGATTCCGCACTGATTCACCAAGACGTGTGACAGAATAATCAAGGGACGACTTCAACTCTTCACACACCTGCTCCAGCTTCGGAGCAATGGCGGGCTGCTGTCCTCCACTGGGTTTTTCAAGCTTTGCAGGCAGCCCGCAATCCAGGGAGTCGTTGACGCACTTCCCCAAAAACCGTGCCAACCCTCGGATTCGGGCGTCCGTTTCGGCGGAATGCTCGTGAATGAGAGCTTCCAGGTCTTCCGATATTGGCCGTCGCCTCCTGTATGAGCTGAGAATCTCCTAGCCTGTCATCCACACTGGTTTGTCGAGGGATTTGCCACTGTAAGCGCTCCAGCTGCCCCAGTAATAACGCAATCGTCGAGTTCTGGTCCTCGATGAGCCTCTGCGCACCCGTATCCGGCAAGCGCAAAGCAGCAGCACGGCCACGCGGACTACCTTGGAAACGAGGGTCAGCGATACCCAGTGCAGAAAACTGAACCATATGAGCGGCATCAAATTTGGAGTGTACCGAATTACCATTTGAATTGCCAGCACAAGTATCAATAGGAAACGAACGAATTGCGTGCGATGCAAATTCCTCCTTCGCCAACTCATCAGATATGCTAATGACCACGGGAACCGACGGAACAAAAAAATGAGTTTCTGGCTTGAGCTTCGAGCGTTCGCGGCGCCTGCCGCAGAATGTAGGAAAGAACCGAGTGAACTGTGAATGCTTAGCGTAGCCAGCTGCCCTGTTCACCTGCACAGACAGCCCGAATAGAGGACGTGGGAGCCAACCTCGCGCCGCCAAGGCCGCAGCTCCAGTAGATGGGTATTCCTGGACAGTCAGGCCAGAGATGCAACAATGAATCGTAAGTTGGGCAGCCACGATCGCAATTCTTATAGGCAATGACAGAACACCTGCACACAAACCTAGAAATATAGAAAGCCCCAGATCAGCAGATATCAATGGCAACAACATGGAAGCGCACGGGTCCACAGGAATTGGAAACACCTCAGTTTACCCACAGACGCGGGCGCTGCGGCGGGACGCGCGGGGGCAAAACGGCTGCGTGAATTGCGCAGCGCATTTCGGCAAGCCGAGGCTTGAGCCAAAATGGCTACGGACCTCCTCCTCCTCCTCCTCCTCCTCCTCCTCCTCCTCCTCCTCCCCCTCACCCCCTCATCCTTCCCTCCACCTCCTCGGAATGGAGGTCCCCCTCGAGGAACGCAAGCCATGGTGTTACCTAGGCCACGGCTCCTTCCGCCTCTCCTGCATCTCGCGGTCCTCGTCCTCGAACACCTCGTCGAGGGCCTCGACCGAGGGTGCCAGCAAGCCGGCCCGCCGACCTCCACCTGCTCCCCTTCCCCTCCTGGGAAAGGGAGGAGCCAGGAGCAGAGGAGGAAAAGCAGGAAGAGGCAGAGGTTCTGGGATGGGCGACCTGTCTTGTCACGACGCTGGCGGTCGCCCAGCGCGTTGGGGCCTGGCCGGGCTGCGAAGCGGCAGCTCGGCACCGAGGTAAGGCGGGAGGCGAAGCGGGCGGCCGCGGGAAGGGGACCGCGGGCGGACGAGGCGCTGGGGGCAGAGGGGCCAGAACAGGAACGGGAGCAGAGCCCCGAAGGAGCTTCTCTGTCTGAGCCAGCTTCTCGGCGGCGACGATAAGGGCGAATAGCCCAGGGGCGGGCATTACACGTATTCGCCCGGGAGCCTTTTCGAAGACATAGATCATCGGCGCACCTAAATACATCTATTGCTCTCCCCTGGGCTATTCGCCCCTATTGTCGCCTCTAAGCTTCCCATCCATCTGCAGCAGGCTCAAGACGAAGGGTCCCGGCGAGGGATCTCAAGAGACAAGAGCTCGGGGCGGGGTGGCTCTCGGGGCTGCGGCGCCAGCTGACGCCACGGGGACGCACTGCCCAGGTCGGGGCCCAGCAATGGGAAGGCTGGTGATGGAGAGAGGAGTTCCTCCTCCTCCTCCTCCTCCTCCTCCTCCTCCTCCTCCTCCTCCTCCCTCCGTAGCCATTTTGGCTCAAGGCGTCAGGCCCATGGGCCCGAGCGTTTCGTTCCGGCCGCCAATTCCAGACCTGTCCCCCCAGCCGTGTGCCCGCCGTCGTGCGGGCCACCGTGCCATGGATGCCGATGTGCGTCGCCCTCCCTGTGCGACCTCTTCGGCCTCGAGGCGAGCCCAGGCGCGCCGGGTGGCGGTGCGCTACGCCCAAGCGAGCGCCGTGCCCCTGCTGGCCATCCTCAAGCCCGCGCCCGCCATGGAGACCCTGACGCGCGTGCCCGCTGCTGTTAGCGCGGGGTCGCCGCCTCTGCCGCGCGCACGCCCCTTCGAAGCCAGGTGGAGGCCCTGACGTGCGTGCCCGCTGCTGTTGGCGCGGGGCTTGCTGCGCAACGGCTTCTCACCGCCTCTGCCGCGCGCACGCCCCTTCGCAGCCAAGCTGCCGTGTACCCTCGTCGGGCCGTTCGTCGCGCCGCTAACGAAGCTACCGACGATTGCGGAGCCGTTGCAGCTGATGCAGGAGATGGCCGTGCCGCCCACCATGAAGATGGCGCTCGGGTTGCTGCTGCCCCTCGTGGAGCTGCGACCGTACGCGCTTGTGCCGATCATGCCGATCCTCATGCCGATCTTCGTGTTTACTCCGAAACCGCTGCTGCCAAAACACCACAGCCTGAAAATACCGACGGACCGCCTCCGCATGGCACTGCCGGTGGAAGACCTTCGCCCCCTGTTTCTGCCGCGAGCTCTGTCGCGTCGGACCCTGGCGTGGACACTTTCGAATTTTCCGAGGAGGTTCACATCAGCGACTCCGACGACGCAGGCGGTACAGTGTCGGAGCTGCTGCTGTTCCTCGTGCCGCTGCAGGTGCCGCGTTTCTCCCTGGATCTGCCGTGGGGCAGCCTGGCGCCGTCCGGAGAGACGATGGCGCAGGTGGGAGTTCGAGCGTAGCTTAGAACGTAAGGCTATAGTGGGCGGTGCCTGGGGAAGGGGAGGGCCCCCTGTCTCTCCCTCCTCCTTCACTTTTCTTCTCTGCGGCCCATTTGGGGCTCAAGTTTCTTCTCGGGCCCTCGTGTCCGAGGCTCTGCGCGCTCGGGCGGCGGGGGCCGCACAGGGCGATAGCGGAGCCGCCTGCAGAGGGCGTCGCGGGCGGCTGATGGCTGGGGCCCCGGAGGCTGACGCTGGAGGGGTCTCAGCCGCGCGCCCGGGGCCGCCAGCCTGGGCGCGGCAGTGAGGCAGGAGCTCCAGTCCAGTGAGGGAGAAGCCAGAGGACGGGCTGCTGCTCCAGGAGTGGACGAGTCGGCTCATTGATGATGGCCCGACTCCCCATTCTCATCGGGGCTGTCGCGGCGGTGGACATCGGGCGGCGTTGGAAGATGTCGGCCACGCCCGCTGCACCACCAGCACCGCGCGTTGCCGTCGAGCCCGTGGACGCGACGTGGGCAGCCGAGGGGGGAGGGGCAGCGTACCCTTCTCTGCTGCGAGCGCTGGAGGAGGACCAGCGGCGCCGCGGCATGGCGGTGGCGAAGGAGGAGCCACAGCGCCACTCAGCAACCCAGGCTGGGCCGCCAGGGCCGTCTGCGGGCAAGGGGCGGACAGTCGCCCATGCGCCGCCATCGGGCGCAGCCGCGGGCGGCAAGGGGCGGCAGCCGCTCCCCCCCCCCGCCCCCCCTCGCGGGGCACGCAGGCGCCAGGATCCAGCGAGGAGGGGTCAGGCGCTGCCCGGAGGAGGAAGAACCCAGCCTGGGACTGGGTCACAGGGTGGGGCCGAGAGCCACCGGCCAAGGGCGAGCCGCGAGGTGCCGGGCGCCCCCCACCGCCTCCCCAGGAAGAGGCTGGGGATGAGGAGGAGAGCCAACACGGCTGGTTCGGCTTCGGTGGCGTGAAAGTCGGGGCCAGTTGGCTGGGCGGGTGCTTCATGGACCTGCCGATGTCAGACCTCAAGTGGACCGCCGTTGCCTGGAGTGGCGGCGGCGTCATTGGGAGCAGCCTCAACACATTGGGCCACACGGCCTTTGGTACGGGGTGGCCCATGTTGTGCTGGACAACCTTTGCGGGTCTCCTTGTGGCGTTGGTGATCGGCCTCGGGTGCGGGCTCCAATCCATCGCCTCGGCGCTCGACCTCTTCTCTTGCTTGGCACGCCGCTCAGGTGGGCTGGGCGCTTGTTCGGATGGCGCTGCCCAGCGAAGGCGCCAGGCCCGTCTGCATTGGACGAAAGTGTCGTGCCTGAGCTACCTCGGCCTGCGACTGCCACGCCCGTGGATAACGAGTTCCACCCGCAGCTGCGGGCGAAGGGGGCCGACAGAGTGCCGCACTACCTGATCATCAAGGTAGGCGATACATCTGCGAGGTTGGAGCGACCATCGCTGAGCACAGGCATCAAGTGCAAGAAGGCTGGGGTCGCATGGCCTTACAAGGAAATGCTGGCGACTACCTCGCGACGTCTACGGGACCTCGTGGAGGACTCCCAAGACAAGGTGGTCCACCTCTGCAGGGAGATGCCGTGCCTCGACGATGGCCACTACGCAGCCCATGCGCTGGCTTTTGGTTATGTCACGGCCACCACGAACAACAACCTAGAGGCGCTGATCCTTGCCTCGTCGAAGCCCTGCTGGTTCGGGAGGTCGGGTCGGCAGCGGCCTCGCGTGGGCGTGGGTGCGCGGCTTTGGGCTTGAATGGGGTGTGCGAAGCTCTGCGGGTCGCCAGAGAGATGCGGGCAGCGGGGCTGCCGGCGCGGCAGAAGGAGCGCGGCCGACACCCTGGCGGAGCTGCTCAAGGACCCCAACTCGGAGACGGAGCCGGAGTCTGAGCACCAGCGATGCATGGCCCACGACGTCCTGTACCAGGAGGGGGGACACAATGTACCAGCTGTCCAAAGAGAAATGTCGCGATCGGGCCCGTGGGGAACCAATCCGTTTGGTCACCGAAGACGGGGAGAAGTCTAACGTCAAGGGGACCGAGAAGGTAGTGACTCTCTGCGGGCAGCATACCAACACGTACCAGAGAGAGCGCGGAATCAAGAAGTGTGCACACCTCGGGTGCCACGCACTGGGCCGGGTGATGAGCTGCGGTGCCCTGACTTGCCTCGAGCACGACTTGTCGGTGACCCAGCGGTTGACACCGCACGCAGATCGACCAAAAGGGCCTGCTGTGGTGGTGGCAGGGCTGACACCGGAGCGCACGAGGGCCGCCAGGTCACGATCCCCACCCACATCGGCGGCATTTGTGTTGGACAGGATCGCCGGCGGAGTGGGTCACCTACCGTCTACCTTGCCTCGACCTGTTAGTGACGGTCCCGTCCGATTTGGCGCGGGAGCTGCCGCTATCATACTGAAGACGAGTATGCTGGTTCAGGACGGGATGGACGAGCACGGCAAGACGGCTAGCCCGGTGGCCACTGCCTTGGCCAAGGGCGTGGCCCGGCCGCGAGGAGCACCCACTGTACACCATCCAGCGAGGAGTTGAGGAGCGGCTTGGCGACCAAGAGGGGAGCACGCCCCGCGAGGTCCTGCCCATGCCTCCCCCCGCCTGCCCCCCGCAGCCTCCCTGGCGAGATGCACTGTCCAGGGAAGAGCTGGGAGGGCTCCTGAGCGGCGCCGCCAGAGAGCGTTGGCGCGGGCGTGGGGAGGACGCGCTGGCACTACAGTACCTGCGGGCACGCTCGGGCAGCGGGGGGCATCCTCTGGACGTGGCCGAGCGTTTCGATAACTTGGGGGGCGCCTGCGACGCCATCGTGGAGTCCCTCGACGCCTTGGAGCGGGACCGCGGGTCCGTCATGACGGACGACGAGCTCGACAACCTGCGTCAGCTGGCTGATGTGCTCCGTGAGAGGCGAGGGCTCAGCCAGGCCCACGTGGAAGAGGGAGAGGCAGGAGCTTGGCGAGGAGGCCTGGCCCAACCGGTGCCAGGAACAGCGCGCGCCGCCCCGGGAGAGCCCCCGCCGGGCCTCGGGCAGGGGCCGGCGAGGGAGAGCGGCAGCCGCCCAAGGAGTGGGCCCCAAAGGCCAGGGCTACCGCCTTGGCGAGTGTGTCCTGAGGTGCGAGGGGCTGATGCGCGGGCGGAGCTGGGCCAGGTGCCGCCCGCGGTTCGCCCTGGTACTGGACCGACACCACCGCCCATGAACCTGTTCGAGCATCGTGCTGGACCGACCTCTGGAGTCCCAGCACGGCGGCCCAGGGTGACGTTCGACCGCGACGAGCACGGCCCGTCCGAGAAGACCCGGCGCTCCGCGGGTGCCCTGGGCGACCCCGACCCTGTAGAAGGGGGTGGCACAGCGCGGGTAATCGCGTCCAACCTCGACCTGCACAACAG